GACCGCCGTCGTCCACCCAGTAGAGTTGGTGTTTCTATATCATACACGTTAAGACAAAATGGTTAGTTGAAACCATTATAATATTATTGTTTCAGCATGACGATTATATATAATTGTGGTTTTTTTGCAGAGAATGAGTGTGCTACTGCAAATGGTGGTTGTGATCACATGTGCCAGAATACACCGTCTTCGTACACATGTAGCTGTCGTGACGGTTACACTCTGGATGAGGACAATCACAGCTGCATAGGTAAAATTATTAACCTGTACTTAGTAGTTGATAGGTACACACTGGGTGTGTAGGGAGAGTTGGGCCCATAAAAGACTGTTTAACCTACCGCCCCGGTTCTCAAGGCTGGGCACCCAGGGTCCTGCCTCTTTCTTTCTGTTTATATGTTATTGTCTGTGTTTTTGTATGCTTGGGTATGTTATTGTCTGTGTTTTGTGTGCTTGGGTGGGGGAGGTTCTTTCTTTTCCTCTAGTATGCTATAAACATGTTTTTTCATGTTTTTTTAACTACAGATATAGATGAATGCTCTACCAGTGTGCATGGATGTCAACAAGTCTGCACAAACACTGAAGGATCGTATTCATGTGAATGTAGAGATGGATATGCTCTAGATGATAACGGGAAGACCTGCTCCATTAGTTGTGGAGGGAGACTCTTGGATTCCAGTGGAAGTTTCCAGACACCAGATTGGCCAGACAAATATCCTCAAGCTGACTTTATCTGCGAGTGGACCATTGACATGTCTGCTAACAGCTCCATTCAGTTTACTGTTGACAGTTCAGCATATGGAATCAATGGTCGTCCTCCGTGCCAGAATGACCATCTCGAGTTCTTTGATGGTATGGAGAGTGATAGTCGGTCACTGGGGAGATTCTGTAAATTGGAGGTACCTCCTCCTATTACCACATCAACTGGAGCTGCTCGCGTTGTCTTTGAGGGAAGAGAGCATCAAAATCGTCCAGCCAGTCGCAAAGGAGTTCGTGTTATGTATAATGTATCAACTTAATGGCCTAGAAGGCAAGACTCAGCATTTTAAGGTTTTATCATTTTGTTATCATCTTCCGTCTGTTTAATTTTAAACAACATTGTCTAACAAGTCCATTCCTTTTGGTATTTGTACTGACATAATTATAATCATTACTGTGTATTATAATAATTATTATCCTTATATTATACAAGTGGAAAAATCATTTCTTCAAAATGAAAGGGGGATATAGGGATGGCTTGAAGCACCAAAAAGGAACAAGGGGTCATTACACAGCAAAGTTGCACAAAGCTACATGACACCATCCCTATATCTTTGTTTTATTGTTTATAAGCAAACTTTTCCTTGAGCTAAATATACATGCAAGACAACCTCTATTGCAGAGCCGTATAACAACAAAGATATAGGGATGGTGTCATGTAGCTTTGTGCAACTTTGCCGTGTAATGACCCCTTGTTTGTTCCTTTTTGGTGGTTCAAGCCATCCCTATATCCCCCTTTCATTTTTGAAGAAATGATTTTTCCACTTGTTTCCACTATTTTTAACTGCTTATGACAACACTGCATTTTCAGTCACCTGATGTTCATGGGTATGTTGTAGAGATAACTGATGAAAGCAGTAGCTAATGGGCTGCTGCGCCTGAAGCGGGGATGTACGCGTAGTGTCTCCAGGCCAACAAGGACGCAATAATCAGGTGGTGGCACGCGGTGGCGATTTCATGGGCAGGCTTCAGTAATGGTATATAGCAGCTACACGGGGGACAAAGAAAGAAGGCTAATTTGTAAGGCTCGCGTAACCCGGCGCAGACTGCCACGTGCAAATCAACAGCTAAAAGCAAGCTAGCCAGTTAAAAATGTGTATACTGACTTACAGAAGGCGCTGGAGGATGAGAGGTCCTCTGCAGGCATCCTTCGTGGAGCGAGACTATGTAATGCGCGCGCACCGCATTATTGGAAACGCCCTCCTCGGCGCATGCGGCTCACTGATGCTGAGTTAGCAGCAAAAATGGCGTTGTTCAGTGACTACCGTGGAGGAGCTCAACGATCTACCGTAGTGACTTGCGGCAAGAAAGAGACGATCGCTTGATGTCCGTGCACACCTCTAGCGAATCTGGAAACGTTTGATGGAAAAATCAGCACTTCAACTATTTTCGGTAACGAGATAGCGGGTTTACTGAAGAAGAAACCGGAAGATGAAGAATATGATGATGATGATGATGATGATGATGATGACACGAAAAGCGTGAAATCGCGTAAGAGGCAATTCTCTCGTGGGGAACTGAGGGCACGTAGGAAGTCTTGGGGAGTATGTATAGCTAGGTATTGGCCTGTAGACTATTGCTAGTGATTTTCAAGCAATGGTGAGTCATTCTCGCCAAGTTTTGAGGCGTTTTGTATGCGGATCACGTGAGATTTCACCCGTGTCATCCCTATATAGAGCGTCTACCGACGCTCTGATTATACCTCATTTGCTTATTTCAAATTGCCAACAATAGAAAACCCGCCCAGCTAGCTACTTATTATTGCGCAGTTTTTTATGTTCACAAATGTGAGAGTGACGCTCATGATGCAGAGAGTTTTCAACACTTGTAAAAAATCGCCATGCGTGTTATAATAATTATAGTCCTATTATTACTCACTCGCCAATTATAGGGTGTATGATAGATATTACAGCTTGCAGACAACTGTCGTTAGACTATGTGGACAATGTCGTATATAGGTAGCTAGTCTCTTTGAAAGTATATAGAGAGATGCCATGAGACTGAGTGGTATTAACACAATCATTCGATTATCTTTACTATTATAATGAAAAGCACTAAAGTGCAAACCCTCGGCGAATTGCGCATACGTGGTACTGCTAATAGATGGGCGGATCGACCGGGCCATTGGCGGTCTCCCGCTAGTAGCTCGCGGAGAGTCTGACACGGGCTATATAGCTACGGTAGTAGATAGCATGCGGGAGTCGATACACGCCCTTTGCTGTGGCTTCTTGTGCCTCCAAGGCACACAGAGCAAGCGGATCAGGTCCCCAGTAGGGGTGCGGAAATTATGCCGGGCATAATTTAGGAATTTTTTGGGGCTGCTCGAATCCGAGAATATTGCAGGAATAATTTCTATACTAGGAATGCGCACGGGCATATTTTGCCTCGCTAGTCGCGCCAATGTCCGATTGAGGCCGCTCGATCTTGCGCGCGCTCTACTGACTGCGCGCGAAGCCAGACTTCCTACGAATGACAGAAGTTACACTTCCTTTTGGTGACTAATTGACATTCCTAAGCGTGACTAATTGACGACGTTTATACATACGTCACTTATGCTGCAGTTAAAGGACATTAACTGATATACTGTGTTCAAAATTTCAAGCATAATAAATTGGTAAAAATAAGAGCATAAATTGCACATAATCGAAGAATCCAGGAGTAGAATAAAATTCAAATATTTGAGCATAATTTCCTCAGCCCTAGTCCCCAGCAAACCGCGTTGTCGGGACGCATGCGCACCGCTTACTGATGGGCTGGGCCACGCACAACAGACAAACCAAGTTAACCAACCCTCGCTGCGCATGCGCGCCGAGGGTTAACCACGCGGAATCTAGCAGATGCGCATGCTCCGGCTAACGACATACGCGCGTGCGCTCTGATTCTCCCGCAAAACGATACACCCACATACGCGCGTGCGCGATGAATCGCTCGCGTAAACTCTTTCGCTTGTTTTCAGGCCATATCTCTGGAACGCAGTCGTTTAGGGAAATCGCATCATCAATATCAATCTTCTCGTCGTTCACAACCCGTTGGTGCCACTCATTGGCCGCCTCGTAGCCTGTAGTGCTAGAACTCGCGCGGACAGACAGACGGACAGACAGAACGACTACAGTAACCCTCGCTGCGCATACGCGCCGAGGGTTAATAATATATATGGTGGCAGTTAATACTTCGTGTAGGGGATACAACTGGTGGGATCATCACCTGCAGGAGCTGCCAAAAAAGAACGAACATTATACATAGTTAATACAAGTTAGGGAACATTTTCTATGGCACAAGTAGACTGTGTTTACGTAACAGCGACTTATCTCTTACACAACCATCCTACAGCTGTGTGTAGGTGTGCTGTGTGCATTCCACAGTAACACATACATAGTTAAACAACCCTTTGGACGCCATGGAGATCTGCTTATATAAGCATAAATTGATGTTAGTACCTAGTATTATACCCCCCATACAAATTCTTATGGGGCTCTGGACACATTGTGCCTGTGGCTGGTTAAGAGTTAAGAGTTAAGTGTTGGATGCTCTTTCGGGTCTTCAGCTCCTTTTTTATAATAATCATGGCTGAAAAGACATGATTCCAAAACCGATTAAACTCAAACACATCGTAAGCTGGATGACGTTTGGATGTATTAAACTCGACAAGCATAAAATAATGATTAGATTTGTTATGCTTGCCTAACTATAACTTCCTACATTTGTGGGTGTGGGATGATGTCAATCTTTAGACAGGGTTTCGTTATTATGCCACAGGTGGTACATACATACAGGCTCCACTAGGTCTGATTACAATTTTGTAACATAACATATAATATACTATTTAGAATACACCCCACACTTGTGGGTGTAGAATGATGTCCATGTTTGCTTTGTATAATTAATGTGCCGACAGGATTTCACCATAAAGCATCAACAACAGGAAACAGATTCCACTATGTCTAATTACCATAAGTGTCTGCACAGTGCGTTTTAGAGTAAGTCCTGGTATTTTGGTCCCACACATGTAGGTGTATGATGATTTCAATGTTTTCTTAGAGTTTTACAAGACTGAATAATCAGCATAAGAAGAAATACGGATTCGAGTGCATATAATTCTATACACAGTAATGTCAGTACCACAACATGCTCGTATTTGGGGATACATCCATAAGCGTAACAGGTAGAAAGCTTTAGGCGTTCATCTTGCCTCAACCAACATAGATCTGTCATCTGTGAATACACGGACACGAACGCAGGGAGAAAACATACTCTGAAGCAATACGTTACTCCTTTCCACCTGGTTCATTCCTCATCTCGGGAGAACGAATCCACAGGCTGGAAACACAAAGTGTGCACACGGCCATTTAACCATGATACACGCATGTGGGGTGGGGGTAGTGCATGCATAGTGTAGGCAATGGTTGTGTGTACAATCTCTGTCTTTCTTTATTCGTGCAACTTTTTTCTACCGAAACAAGATAAGGGTTGTTACACAAAATTTCACCTCTTACATATTTTGGACATGGCTTGCTATATCCAAAAGGTCTACACTGACAAACACGATTTACCACAGAATAATTTTTTAACCACCTTCACGCTACGGTCATAGTTACTTATAAGCTTGCGTAGGGCCGTGCGGCGGATCACGTGAACGCGGGACTGTTTGCTGGTTAGTGTTTTTGCTGCTTACTCAGTAACCTGTAGGAAACGTAAATACACGTTAGGTGAGGTGAGCAAAAGTCGCCGCGTTCTCTCCCAGCTCAGCAGTGGATTGTGTGCGCTTGCGCATGCGCGTCACAAAAGTGCGGTTGCGCGGATTTGCAGCTATATATCTGAGAGAAGTGGCGCACCTTCTTTCTCGGAACTTACATGATGTAATCCACCACTACAAGTACCCTGCCCACCCACCCTCTCATACACATGGCTAGTCTCCCACGTCAGCTTACTTGTTACATGAGTGGGAGCGTGGGAGCAATGCAATCAGGCGGACAATTATGAGCCAGGGTCACATATTTCAGAGAGACAAACGCCTGTGACACAGGACGTATGACGGGTAACTCCCAGTGTAAGGTGGAAAACATCGTGGAAACGGCGCAGTGTGTGGACTCCTACTTCCTCTTCCAAGAATGAGACTAGCTGCTAAGGGACTTTATGCACGCAGGATAGGTGCGGTCACAACCCAATTTATAAAGGAACGCGTTGGACTACCGAAACATTGTTATGAGGCGATGTATTGCTATAGCTTTCTCCTCGCAGCCGCAGGCCTGATCGTTCTGACCGCGGCGGGATCACTAGCGGCGAAAAAGAGAGAGCCTTCGGTGAATGATGTCCGACAGGGTAGGGCGCCACGTGCGTACTACACTGCAGACTGGGCCGTGGAAATCACTGCCGGAGGAGCGAAAATGGCTGACGTAATAGCAAAGAGGAATGGATTTACCAATCTAGGAGAGGTATAACGTGTCATTTTCGCTCTCTTATAGCTAGCTCACCATTAAGCTTATTTTCCAGGTCGATGGATTAAAAGACATTTACCACTTTAAGTTGAATGCAAGGGAAAGATCGAGTGTTCCTAGGTTCTTTTCATTTACAGCAAAGAGTAACCGTCTTTCTTCTGAAGCACATGTAAGATTTAAAACATTTTCTAGTCGTCTAGCTTATAGCTAATAGGTATATACCTCTTTCATGCGATATAGGTTGGATTTGTTGAGCAGCAGGTTGTTAAACCAAGGGTAGCTAAATCCTACACTGTACCCGAAGACCCTCTATTCTCATCACAGTGGCAGCTGGTAAGTTACACCACTTCAACTGTAACTGGTCATAGCTGGCGAGGTATCATTATTTGTTTTGACTTGTTAGTTTGATAGCTAGCTACCCGCTCTGAGCTAAAAACACGCGAATCTAAAAAAGCAAAAGTGCCGCTTCAGTTTCGTGGTAAAATTCTGTGAGTCTGAAGACTGTTTACTGGATTTCAATGAAAAGCACTGAAGTGCAAACCCTCGGCGCACTGTGACGCGCACGCGTAAGTAAACGCATGCGCCGTACCACTAATTGGTGGGCTGGGTTTAGTTTTAGCGATCGCGGTCTCTTGCCAGCTCGCGCAGAGTCTGACGCGGGCTAACTACACTACTAGATAGCATGCGAGAGGCGATACACGCCCTACGTTGCATCTTCTGGTGCCTCCGAGGTACGCAGAGCACGCGGATCGATCATGCCGTAGTGTATTTGCATATTGGTTTTTTCGCGCTCTAGCTTTGCAACGGAGCGTTTTCAGGGAAAACTACGATGGCTTTTTAGGGCCACAAATACCATCGTAGAAAACTTCAAAACTTCAAAACTTCCGTTGTAGAGACTTCCATTCTAGTAACTTTCGTTCTAACCCTCACTGCAATCTAGCTAGCTAGCTAGCAAGCTAGCTAGCGGGATAGCTGAGGTAGTGTTGCGGCGTCATGAAAGCTGTCATTACTCAGTTCGCCTCGGCATGATTCATGGGTTATAGGTTTCATCCATCTTTTTGGTCGCCATCCCAAAGGCTACACGATGAAAACTTAATGTACACTTGTAGCTCAATGTTCCATAAGTTAGATAGTGCTGTGTTGGTCCTGAGATCTACCTGTTGGGACAAGGTTTCAGAATGTTGTTTCTAGTATTTCCAACTTCCATTTTGAGCTCACTTCCATTCTGAACCAACTTCCAAGTTCAATTCTGTTCAATTGTAAGCTAAGCTGAAACACCTTGTTTGCTCCAGAGACCTTAGAGGGAAAGCTGCTTTTTTATGCTGTTTGTGGTACACAAACAAGGACCCCCATGCCTTTGCCTGAAGTCACAGTATATTATTGTTAGCCATAATATGCCACCAAAAGCCAATCCGGTGGAGTTTTCCCAACATCAATGAACATGAAGTCAGTAATCTGTATACTGTCAGTTTTTGCAACGCTATAGAGATATTCTGTGCATCTTTACAGTACTAGCCTTGTTCCCAGGCTCTCTCTCCACTCTCTGTGAACCATGTATGACCTTTAACCCATGAATCGTGCCGAGGCGAACAGAGTAATGAGAGCATTCAACACTACCTCAGCTACCCCGCAAGCTAGAACTTTTAGCTAGCTTTTTAGCAGTGAGGGTTAGAACGGAAGTTACTAGAATGGAAGTCTCTACAACGGAAGTTTTGAAGTTTTCTACGATGGTATTTGTGGCCCTAAAAAGCCACCGTAGAAAACCGTTCGAAATTCATTGACCGTAACCCTCGCTGCGCATGCGCGCCGAGGGTTAATAAAGAAGTTTGAACTTTATATAATAATCCCGGACAATCCATGAGTTATGCAAAAGAATGCCAGAAGCAAACCTAACGCCACCTGTCAGGGCTATGTTATCGCCACAGTGGAGCAGTTGAGGGGGACTCATCCAAACCGTTTTGGATCCACCATTGAGGACTAGTAGTAGCATTATGAGTGTGGTGATAACTGAATGATCAATGGTTGTTGAATGGCCTAACTTATCGCCCATTCACAACACCATCCATTCAGCTTAATTATGACTGACCATTAATAATACTATTCAGTCATTTCAACAGCACTGGCATTCAGTCACACCTCTTTCCTTGTCTTTGTAATTGCTGTTTCCTATCCACACGACGTCTAATGTAAATAGCCACCAGTTTGGTACAATGCAGAGTTCTAGCTCGAATTTAAGCTACACTCCTCGGCCAGGACCTATCTGCAGCACGCGCATTCGGCGTGCACTACACGAGTGTGGTTATTGCCGATGCTATTTTCTCACTTTGCACATTCATCTGAACGGCATTTACACACCACTTAATACAAATAGTACATTTGAGATTGCATAGTTGGGTATGTCACGGTATATTTTCCACATGCAGCTAAACTCTGGCCAGTTGGGGGAAAGCTATGCAGGAAATGACATGAGGGTAGAGCAGGCCTGGATGCAAGGGCTAACTGGCTGTAATGCTACAGTCACTATTGTTGATGATGGTAACATGTTTCTATGCAATCTGCATATTAGATATTAGATAATTTATTCACCATAGGTCTTGACTTCACCCACAGAGATATATGGAACAATTTTGTAAGGGTTTAAATGAGTTGTATAATAGTATAGCCTTATAATATATTTTCGCAGGTTCCAGAGATATCCTACAATTTTGTTGCCGATACTAATGACACATCACTTTACTATCCGTCGCATGGTACTGCATGTGGAGGTATTGTTGGCGCCTTGAAAGATGATAGGACATGTGGTGTTGGAGTTGCACATGAAGTTAACCTTGGTAGTAAGTTTATCAGTGACAAACGAGCACTTGCACAGAAGTCTCTATCATGCACCAGATTAACATCTGACACTTACAAACACGAGAACTAAACAGCTCATGCTTTCACGTGTAGAAAGAAGAAAACGAGAGAGAGAGAGAGAGAGAGAGAGAGGGAGGAGGGAAAGAGAGAAGAGAAGAGAGAGAGAGAGCGGACTCATAAAGAGCTTCACACCTACATTAAATAGAACCAAAAAACAATAACAGCACATTAACACACACCAAAGCTCAGACATTGACAACAACGGACTAGCTCTACATGTATACTGCACTCTGTAATCAATTTTAATCCCCATATAGGTGTGGCACTTCTTGGAGCAAACAGTGACATTAATGAAGCTCTCAGCCTCTCCTATAAGAGAGATATTGTAGATGTGTACAGTAACAGCTGGGGACCATTCGATAGTGGGGATAATGTCGATGGCCCTGGACTCCTTACTGAGATGGCTCTTGAGAATGGGGTTCAAGAGGTATGGGATTAGTCAATACAATTCAATAACTGTGTCACACTGCATTTTAGGGCCGAAATGGAAAAGGCTCCATATATGTGTGGGCTAATGGTAATGGAGGTGAAGATGATGACTGTGCTGCCGATGGCTATGCATCCAGTATATACACAATCTCTGTTGGAGCTATTGAAGTTGATGGGTGGCCTAGTTGGTTTGATGAAGAGTGCTCTGCAAAGATGGTTGTAACATACGTGACTGACATGTATGGATATTCCACTGTGGTATGTAATCTTCGCATGAGTCTATGGCTATAATATAACCATCTACTGCTTCAAGTCAACTACAGCATTGGAAGGACGCTGCACTACATCCTTTGGTGGAACCAGTGCAGCAACTCCTTTGGCTGCAGGAGTCATTGCTCTAGCCCTTGAGGCAAAGTAGGTTACCTTTGAACTTTGCGTTGTGTGGGTGTTTTCGTCTACCTATCACCTACCACCCATTATTTACCCATGATTATATATACTCGCACCTTTTTTGAATACAGCCCAAGTCTGACATGGAGAGATGTCCAGTACCTGATAGTATACACAGCTAATCCTCAGCTGACAAATGGTACTGATACAGAAATAAATGGAGCTGGTCTGGCAGTGAGTCGTCAGTATGGGTTTGGAGTGATGGATGCTGAGGCCATGGTCACCAGAGCTAGACACTGGATCAATGTACCTCCTCAGATGAATGAAACACTTACGCCCATTGATGACTCTGGGTAGGTTCTAAATGACATGGTGTAGATAAATTATACCCCAAGAATTACTCTTTTGTGTACCTACGACTTATATTTTCTTCTTTTTAGTTCAGCAGTGAATTCTTCGCCATTCGTGTCAACAATCAACTACAGTGGATCGGTGAAATATCTTGAACATGTAATTGTTATAATGACGATATCAAATATTTCTGATGAGAAAAGAGGGAACATCGGTGCAAGTTTATCATCGCCGAGTGGAACAGTGTCAACTCTTCTTGGGTTATCGTCCATATGATTATGATTACTTTGGCGATGATATCAATAGAGGATATTTTAATTGGCCCTTCATGTCAGTTATGTTCTGGGGAGAGGACCCAACTGGACAATGGACCCTTACTGTCACTCCATTTGGAAACTCAATTGCCACGATCAGTGGAATAGACTTTCAGTTCTACGGAGTGTCTGAGGTGCCAGAGGCAGTGGCAAACATTCCTGCCCGGTGTCATTCTGACTGCAGAAGAGGGTGTGCTAGAGAGGGCTCCAACTTCTGTGACTCATGTGTCAACCTCCGCAATGCCTACACTCTGGAGTGTATCAATGAGTGTCCTCCAGGCTACACCCAGCGTAATGGTTACTGCTATGATTCGAATCATCCTGTTGAAGAATGCAATTCACCACTCAAGAAAAAAGATGAAGGTGATTGTGATATAAGAATATCATGATGTGTATAAAACCTCAGTTAATATTAAAGTTTTGTGTGCTGATGCTGGATATACATCCTGCTGCACTGAGGAGAACTGTGAAGTGAGCATCGAATCATCTCCAATCTCCTGTTTCTGTGACGCTCTCTGCCACTCTTACGGTGACTGCTGCAGTGATATTCTCGACATTGGTTGCACTGAGCACAATGGTGAGTTATGTAGTACAGGTTCGTTTTTCAGACTTGTATGTGTTGCCGTATTCCAACAATTATTGTGTTATTGTGACAAGAATATTTCACCACAGCCACAGAACCATGCGGTATTCTTCCCTATATTGCACTTGGAGTCACTGGAGGAGTTGATACGCTGTCCGTTCCAGCATTTGACGATGGTGTATCTGAACCAATTGATGTGGCTTTTCCAATTGGATATAGCATTGAACCCTTTGTTCAAGTATGTAAATGTATCATCACCACTAACAACCTGTATAAAAAATGTGGCTATAGGTGGGAACAAACGGATACTTTACATTTGATGGATACGACGGATTTTTCCCGTTTCCATTCGATAAGAGAAACAAAAGTCTTGTGGCTCCATTCTTCACTAACATTGATATATCAGTGGGAGTAGGCCAAATCAGATATGAGGTCCACAGGGATAACACATCAGAGGTAATACTGTCTCAAGTCAACCAACTGATCAACAACTGCAGCGAGAAAGAGTTCACAGGGAATTGGCTACTAGTTGCCACGTGGGAAAATGTCTCGTGGTACAGACAACCAACCACTGTAAGTCACTGTGTGTACAGAATATTAAACGAGTTAGCACCTTTAATTTATTCTTCTCAGAGAAGCACATTCCAAGGAATGCTGGTAACAGACGCAAACAGCTCAAACTCTTATGCTGTTTTTACCTATTACTGTGGAGACTTGAGTCACGCCACTTTTGCATCTATTGGATTTGGTACTGAAGACGGTCTGCATGCAGCCCACGAAGCGACATTTAGAGGGAGTGCTCATTCCATTGCCTGCTTGAACCAGCCAACCAGTCCATGGGTGAATGTTGTCTATGAGCTCACAAATAATGGTAAGAACTATGTGATGCAAATCTGGTACTTTAACTCATAGGAAGACACTTTCCACATAGAAAATGAATGTGAGGTTGAAAATGGTGGCTGTGAGCAGATATGTTTGGACAAACTCTACTTGTATGAGTGCAGTTGTCCAGATGGATCTGAACTGAACAGCGATGGACGCACATGCAGTGGTGAGTGCTATTACAAAAAGGTCTAAACATACTCTACATTGTTGCCACTTCAGATATTAATGAATGTTTGGATTCAAATGGTGGGTGTGAGCATGTGTGCAACAACACAAAGGGATCATATTTATGCTCTTGTGAAGAAGGCTATGCTCTGAATGAAGATGGAAGAACCTGCTCCATAACATGTGGAGGGAGACTCACAGAAGTCAGTGGGTCTTTCCACACTCCTGACTGGCCTCTCAGTTATCCCACTGAAGACTTCGTCTGTGAGTGGGTGATAGACATTGAGAACACCACTGACTCAGTCATTGAGATCATATTCGATGAACCATTTGGAATCTATGGTAGTCCTACATGTCAAACTGACTATGTGGAGGTACTGGATGGAGTAGAAGATAGCTCTCCTTCTCTTGGAAAACACTGTTATACATCCACACCGAGCCCTATTGCCACCTCATCAAAGAGAGCCAGAGTAATTTTCAAAGGAAGTTCTCGAAGTCAGCGTCAACAGAATAATATAGTCGGAGTCTCTATACAATACTCAGCAAAGCCAGCAGGTGTGTCCCCCCTCTCATCTAGAGGGATTACCTAATCACATAGAATGTAAAATGTTATTAGCTGTTTCTGTCCTCAGTAAATGAATGTGAGACTGACAATGGTGGCTGTGCTCATATCTGCAAGGATTCCAAGTCCTCATACTCTTGTAGTTGTCATGAGGGATTCACTCTTTCTGAAGATAAACACAACTGCAGTGGTAAAGAACTATAGCTACTGATTATAAGTGTAAGTTTAAGTATGAGCTTATTTGTTATCAGATATTGATGAATGCTCAACTAATGGACATGGATGTGAAGATGTCTGCATTAATAGTGAGGGATCGTACTCATGCGGCTGCAGCGACGGCTATGCTCTGAATGAAGATGGAAGAACCTGCTCTATATCATGTGGAGGGAGACTCACAGAAGTCAGTGGGTCTTTCCACACTCCTGACTGGCCTCTCAGTTATCCCACTGAAGACTTCGTCTGTGAGTGGGTGATAGACATTGAGAACACCACTGACTCTGTCATTGAGATTTCTTTCAATGATCCATATGGGATCAATGGTCGTGATACATGCCCAACTGACTATGTGGAAGTACTGGATGGAGTAGAGGATCACTCTCGGTCTCTTGGAAAGTACTGTTTCTGGAGGAAACCAGACCCCATACTCACCTCCTCCAGCAGAGCCAAAGTTGTGTTTCAAGGAAGTGACCTCCCTCGTCCACCCACCAGAGTTGGTGTCTCCATCATTTATCACATGAGACAGAAAGGTAGGATTAATTTAGATGTTGTGCACGTGAATGATTTAATACTGTTTATTTTCAGTTAATGAGTGTGAGAGGGACAATGGCGGCTGTGCTCACACATGCCAGGACTCTCTGTTTGGATATTCATGTCATTGTCATGAGGGATTCACCCTTGATAGCGACAATCACAATTGCAGTGGTAAGAATTAATAATATGGAGAAGAGGGTAGCTATGATGTTTCTGTGAATCTACAGATATTGACGAATGCGCTACTGATCAGCATGGATGCAAACATATCTGCATCAACACTGAGGGATCATACTCATGTGGCTGCAGCGACGGCTATACTCTGAATGAAGATGGAAGAACCTGCTCCATAACATGTGGAGGGAGACTCACAGAAGTCAGTGGGTCTTTCCACACTCCTGACTGGCCTCTCAGTTATCCCACTGAAGACTTCGTCTGTGAGTGGGTGATAGACATTGAGAACACCACTGACTCTGTCATTGAGATTTCTTTCAATATGCCGTATGGGATCAATGGTCGTGATCCATGCCCAACTGACTATGTGGAAGTACTGGATGGAGTAGAGGATCTCTCTCCTTCTCTTGGAAAACACTGTTTCTGGAGGAAACCAGACCCCATTCTCACCTCCTCCAGCAGAGCCAAAGTTGTGTTTCAAGGAAGTGACCTCCCACATCCAGCCAGCAGAGTTGGTGTCTCGATCATTTATCACATGAGACAGAAAGGTAGGATTAATTTAGTTGTTGTGCACGTGAATGATTTAATACTGTTTATTTTCAGTTAATGAGTGTGAGAGGGGCAATGGCGGCTGTGCTCACACATGCCAGGACTCTCTGTTTGGATATTCATGTCATTGTCGTGAGAGATTCACCCTTGATAGCGACAGTCACAATTGCAGTGGTAAGAAATAATATGGAGAAGAGGGTAGCTATGATGTTTCTGTGAATCTACAGATATTGACGAATGCGCTACTGATCAGCATGGATGCAAACACATCTGCATCAACACTGAGGGATCATACTCATGTGGCTGCAGCGATG